TCTCTCTCTCTCTCTCTCTCTCTCTCTCTCTCTCTCTCTCTCTCTCTCTCTCTCGCTTTCTCGCTCTTTCTCGTTTTCTCTTTCTCTCTTGCGCGTTCTCTTTTATTCTCTTTAATTCTCACTCATTCTCTCTCCTAGTCTCTCTCTTATTTTTTCTTACTCTCTTTTTTTCTTATTCTCTCTCACTTTCTCTTTTTTTTCTTCTTATACATTTTTTTATACAAGAACAGATTTTTTTCTTATCACGCGTCGTGTAAACGCATGTATATTGCCATCTATTGGATACCACATTTAAATGGACATTTCCCCACCACTGGGCCGGATGAATTTCCCCACCACTTGCCATTATCTAGCCAGAAAAGGTGAAAAATAAGAGATCAAAATGTTTTCTGTAAACAACTTCGAAAACAAGACTCGGACGAGAAAAACACATTAATACTTTTTTTTTCCTTTTTTACCTGAATCGATTGAGAGTAGAATGAAGCCGATCGGTTCACTCAGTATTAAGATATTGCTGATTGAATTTTCCCCCACTCCTAAAATTCTTTATTTTCGCGTATATACAAGCACGGTGTGCCTCGCACAGTTTGTGCGCACTGCGTGCGCGTGAACTTGGCGCGAGGCAGTACCGTGCATATAGGGTAGTGGGCCCAGTTAGTGTGCCATAAAATAAATTTTTTCAGATATCGATTAATTACACAAGTTTTTAAGTTCAGTTTAAATAGAAAAAACTGTATACTCATTTTTCAGACTTTTTTTTTATCAAGATATTTTTTGTAAATAAAAAATATTACAATTTTATATTAATTTTAATGAAAGAAAAAAGTTAAATGTTGCTGTAGTTAATGTGCCTTTCAAGACAAAAAGAATGTATTACTGTGCTTCCAGTTAGTGTGCCTGTCCCGGATTGTGCGCTTACAGTTACTGTGTGCTTGTCTCGGATCCTTTTTTTTCTGCCAAAACAGCACTTCCTTTAGGATTCAGCATTAAAGCTGTTTCGTCCGTATTGAATATTTTTGAGGGATCAATATTTTGTAACTGTTCTTTTTTTAAATAGTCATCTATATTTTGAAACCATTTTCTCACAGAAGTTTCTAAAACTAACGCTCGAGAAAGCGTAACATTTTCACACATTCTCTTTGATAATTCATGATGTCTTTTTAAAAAAGCAGCATACCAATGCCGTCCTGGGCGATCGTCTACAAATGGATTCGGCTTATTCAGTTTTTTTACGATCATTGCCACACTATTTATTAAATGGTCCTTTGTCACTGGACAGCCACAAGAAGACAAACATAATCCATTTCACTAAATCACTTTCTTCTAAGTCACTCAACACACTACTTGGACCAGGCTTATCTGTGCTGTATTTATTGATGACTTTACTATGAATTGACGACCGACAAATGTTATAAAGTCTGCTGGCTGCATTAATAGATGTTCCAGACTTTNCAGCTTCCAAAGCTTTTAACATAGCCTCTTTACTGTATATTTTTCTCTTTATTTTTGAGATGCCGCTTATTTTAGTAACTGTTATAATAATAATAATTAATTAATATGTTTTAAGAGTACAATAAGTACTTACTCATTAAAAAATAAATATGTTAATTCTACCTGATTTGTTTTTTGTGAGCAACCTGACGCAAACTCATGCCACAACAAGACAGAAGTTAGAAAAAACATACGCTTGAAGGGGCACACTAACATGAACAAGCTTCAAATTGTGCGGTAATAGTGGACACGATTTAAAAAATAATAAGAATGCTTTTAAAGTACTTTTTTTTGTTTTTTTATAAAGTTAAACTCTTTTCACATAAAATACTGCAATTCAATTAACGAGAATCGTATAAATATTTAGTTGTTTTGCTGTTTTATAAAAATATTTCTTACTACTTTTGACAAGACGCTTGAGAAAATTTGTCACAATTGCTACATATTTTATAAAATTATCTTTTGTTATTTAACGCTTTTATAATATCAAGTTGTGTTCTAAACGTAATCTTTATTAACTTAAGTTTGTTAAAAAAAATACTTGAAATGTTTATTTTTAATATTAATTTCATAATCGTTAGTTGAATGCAAACACACACTAATTGGGTCAGGTACATTAACTGTGCCCACTACTCTATGTAATACTTCTATATGGCTAGTTGAGCTCAGCGCAGTCCCAACACTACGATGCAGACAATGCTCTACTCTTTTTATTACTTTTTATCACTGTTCAGTTTGTTCGAAAGCGCATGCGTGACATGTATCCATAACCCAGGTAGCATTAATATCTAATTGGTATCTATAAGTTATCGTTATAAGGTTGCCTTTAGGATTTTACCACAAGATAACTATTATATGTCTTTAAATCGACATCTGTTTTACCGTTGCCTTAAAGATGTCTTTTTTATGATATTTAACATGAGAGGAAAAATGTTGTTCAAAAGTCATCATGTTAATTTGATCTGATAGATGTCTGTTTTATGACATCAAAAAGTTACCAATGTATTGCTATCTGAAGTATTTGTGTAAATTGAAGTCCAAAAGGTATCTTTCGACATCGCTGCTTTTGACATTTATTTTAAGTATATCATATTTAAGATATCTTCCTGATAGTGGAATTATGTTGTCTAGAAGTATACCAATATACACACATTATCCAATTGTTATCTAATGAATGACATCAAATGGAATTATATTCCGAAATTCACTACCACAGTACTGGAAATCTATAGTTCACGTTACGTATATTATAGATTTTTAGACTAACAGTACAGTACACTTTCAATACTAACAGTAAATTTAAAAACACAACTGGATAACTCGCAGTTCTCGCAAACGCCGTACTATTATGCGGCAAAAATTTTTCCCAAATAAAAAGTGACGAAGTGTTTAGAAAAAATTTACAAAAATATATATAGTGTTGCAATATACGTAAGTACATGTTATCATTCGTTTTTTTCTATTTTTAGTACACATAACGTTTCAAAAATTCATAAAGCGCACATATACTTTTTAGGTTATATATAAGGATAATAAAATATACTTTTTTTCTACATCTGAGAATTTAAGTAAGTATAATTATTTTTTTAATTCTGTATTCTGTTTCATTCCATTTAATGGTTGAAGAATTAATACATAAGGTTATGGGACGTCCGTTGAAACCTTTCCTTGAGATCTCACGAAGACAGCAAAGGCGACGAACACGCGCTCTTTTACAAGTGGATATCGACTCGTTATACCTTGCAAATGCAACAAATAATATTGCATCTAGTTCTATTCGTCCTCCTTGCTTATCGCCAACATACTTCTATTCTATTCAGTCTGTTGTAGTAAGTATTAAAAACTGTTTCACACCTATATCTGTATTTGCGGATTATTATTATTTTATTTTCCAGATGATTGTAGAGAAGATCGACAACGTTTTGAGATTGTGATTCTACGAAAAATAAACAAATTACTAGAAGTAGCACGAGAAAATGCTAACCCAATTGAGCGCAAACTTCACCATTATCCACTTCTACCTCTGATGCCGTTTAACAATATCAACACTTTACAAAAATTTGATCGTGATTTCAATGACTATGAGCAAATGCGAGATCAATTTGTACTTATACCAGTATTTTGAAACTGCGCTAATATATCATTTCTTCAACAATGTAATTATTTAATCGATATTTTTCAGATACAAAAACTTCAAGATATTGGTGGAAAAACGGTCCAATAAGCAGTAAAATATTCGATGGAAGTAGTTATGACGGACGAGTTAACTTAACAAATCGTTTGGACTCTCGGAGCTGAGAACAATCCAACAATCTCCAAATTTACGTTCCTATATCTCATAATTGGTATGTATATATATATCGGTGAATATTCAACTTAAACGTTTTCGTTGAGTTTTTGTCGTAAAAAAGCTATTACATCTCCAGATACAGTACCGATAATATTTATCCGTCTACTTCTTCAGATGTCGTACGTAACGCATTTAAGGGAACAAAAATTAAAGCTGTCGAAGATCGGATTGGCGACTGGCTTCGTCGTGGAGGCGACCGAATAAAAGCATCCAAGATAGCTGCGAATACACGACGTGAACGTCAACATAATTTTGAATGATATATTGATATATACGTGCCTTTCTTTTTAATAGTAAATATACATCAAAGTTCCTAATATACAAATTTATACATTTGATAATCTAGGTTTGCACAAAACATATAACAATATATAATTATACGTATAATAATATGTATAAATATATATAGCTATATAAGCGAAAACGATGGGGCAGGTGTGGGAAGTGGTGAATAGGGAGAGAAGAAGAAAGAAAGGAGGGGGTAGTGGGATTGAGATAAGAGAGTGGGAGGATTATTTCAAGAAGCAGTTGGGGGGGGGGGTGGACTGGAAAGTGGTGAGAAGGGAAAGGGGAAAGAGGAAGGAGGGGGAGGAGAATATAGGAAGGGAGGAAATTATTAGAGCGATTGGAAAATTGAGGGTAGGGAAAGCGCCAGGGGGGGATGGTATACCAGCAGAGGTATGGAAGTTTGGAGGAAGGAATATGCAGGACTGGGTGTGAAATATATGTAGGAGAATATGGGCAGGAGAGGGGTGGATCGATGAGTGGAATGAGGGAATAGTGGTGCCAGTACTGAAAAAAGGAGAGGGAAATAAGGTGGAGGAGTATAGGGGTGTGACATTGGCCGGGTCATTGTACAAAGTATATGCGGAGTCGTTAGCAGAAAGGTTAAAGGGAGAAATGGAGGGAAAAAAATTAGTTCCGGAGAGTCAGGCGGGATTTAGGAGGGGAAAGGGTACAATGGATAACATTTATGTAATAACTTACTTGGTTAGCAGGAATTTAAGTAGAAAGGGGAGTGGGTTGATTGCGTTATTTATAGATCTGAGGGCGGCTTTCGACACGGTCAATAGGAAGACTTTACTAAGAGCGATGAGGGAAAGAGGGGTGAGAGAGAGTTTAGTGGAAAGGTGTGGGGACTTATATAGGGAGACGAGGAATAGGGTGGCGGCAGGAGGGAAGGTGGGGAAAGAATTTTGAACAGGTAGGGGGGTGAGATAGGGATGCCCGTTGAGCCCATATCTGTTCAATCTGTTGACGGCGGATATGGAGGACTATTTGGGTAGGAACGGATGGGGTGGGGTAAAGGTAGGAGAAAGAAGGGTTTATATATTGGCATATGCGGATGATGTAGTGTTGTTAGCAGAGGAGGAGGAAGGGATGAGGGAAATGATGAGAGGGATGGAAAAATATCTGGCGGGAAAGGGTTTGGAAGTAAAAGTGATGAGGTTTAGGAGAGGAGGGGAGAGGGAGAAAAAACTGGAATGGTGGTGGAAAGGGGAGAGATTAGAGGAGATAAGGGAATTTAAATATTTGGGGTATATGTTTTAGAGGAACGGGGAGAGGGAGGCGCAGATAAAAGAGAAAATGAGAAAAGGGGCGGCTGTAATGAGTTAGGTGCGGGGGATTGGGAAGAGGAGGTTCGGTGGGGATTGGGGTAAACGGTTATGGCTGTTTGACGTATTGGTTTGGTCAGTGGTTGGATATGGGGTGGAGATATCGGGATGGAGGGAATGGGATAGCTTGGAAAGGTTACAAAATAGATATATAAGATGGTTATTGGGAGTAGATTGGAGGACCCCGGGGTATATCGTAAGGGAAGAAGTGCAGAGGGACTTATTAAGGGAAAGGGCAGGGCAAAGGGCCTGGAGATTTGAAGAAAGGTTGGAAAGAGGAGAAGGTAGCAAAATAGCGAGGCTATGTTTAAAGGAGATTAGGGGCAGAGAGGGGGGAGGGCAAGGATTGTCTGAGTGAGAGAATGACAGAATAAAATATTATGAAGAGAGAGGAGTAAGGATAGCGGAGATGGAGGAAAGTAGAGTGGCAGGAGAATGGAGAGCTCAGCTGTTGATAGAGAAGGAGAGGAGGATGCAGAGTGAGGAGAGAAGGAAAAGAATTGAAAGTTCGAGGTACAATAGATGGTACAGGAAAATTAAGAAGGAAGAAGTGCTGGGGTACTTAAAAAAGGGATGGAGAGAAAGCAGATGTCAGAGGGTGGCTAGGTTTAGGTTGGGGAACGAGATGAAAGAAGGTAGATACTGGGAAGGGGAGAGGGAAAGGGTGTGTAGAATGTGTGGAGTAGTGGAGGAGGGTTGGAGACATGTGTGGGAGGATTGTGGGGTATGGGGAGCGGAAGGGAATTGGAAGGACATGATTGAAGTGGTATTGGGGGAGGAGGGGGAGGATGGTTAAAGAGGCTGGAGGAATATAGGGGAACGGAAAAAGAAGGAGAGCAGGAGGTGGGAAAGGAGTGATTAGAAAGGGAGGGATGATAGTTGAGTGAGTGAGAGCTGAGTGAATGAATGTGTAAAAAGAAGTGTGTAATTGTATGTATGTATGAAGTGAAGAGAGTATGGGAACCAATTGCGGAGTAGCTGGATAGAGTTGGCTGCCGAAAAGGGAGGTCTGCATTGCGTGGAGTAGGGTAAAGCGATTGCGTGTGTGTGTATATAGTATTTTTAGTTTTTTTTTCTAAGGTAGTTGTAAGGTTAGTTGTAAGAGTAGATGTAAGATTTTTTTATATAAGGTTTTGTAACCTTAAGGGGAATCAATAAACTCTATCTATCTATCTATCTATCTATATAGCTATATACAATAATATTTTGATTATTTTAAATAATCTAGTATCTGAAATATGGATGTACAATTATATATGTATATATATATTTAATATATTATTATTGTACATTTTTCAGATACTACATTATTCAAAATAATCAAAATATTATTTTACATAGCTATATATATTTATACATAATATTATACGTATAATTATATATTATTATGTTTTGTGCNAAAACAAATTATCAAATATATAAATTTGTATATTAGGAACTTTGATGTGTATGAACTAGGTAATATTGTTACTATTGACAATTTTATTAAAATAACTATAACTATTGACAATTTTATTATATCTTTATATAAAGGATATCTTTTGGTATATCCTATAAATAAAAAATAAAAGATATCTATTGGATATTACTAATTGATGACGTTTTGTTAACCTTTGTGCAATATCTATAAGACATTTGTTTATTTTTGCCTTTAAAAGGATATTTTTTGGTTGTAGCAATTTGATATATTTATGTCAACATATTGGCAGCTGATAAAGGTTGACCATATGCTGGCAATTTGGTAATTTCTATAAGTTTTTTTTATAGTTGCCATTTGGATATAAATAAGTTGTCAGCCAGACGGACATTAGTGATCCTATTTGTACTACAAAAAGGCATCTTTTTGCCAACTAAAAAGTCATCCGAATCTTTTTTTGGGTGTCCATTTAATATCCTTTTGATAACATTTTGCTACCTGGGAATGCTTATATTGGCTGCGTTCCGATATTCACTGCCAGTACTGAAAATCTATAGCACATGTNACGTGAAGTATAACCTCGAAAGTCTTCTAAGATATTGTTTTGAATCTATTTGTGTAGCACAAAAATTACGTACTACACGATAAAATCAGTGCAAAATGGTGAGGTATTGTTATGTCTGTAACAAAAAACAAGCCAAAAATAAAGATTTTTGCTTACATAANTAAGTTATAAGCGTAAATTTTAATGTATATATTATGTCTCTGAAATGTGGTTATCACTTTATTTTAAGAATAATAATTTTTCTTCAAAATTTCCAAAAAATCGAGAGATCTGTTTACAATGGAAACAGTTTTGCGGTTTGAGAGAAGTCACTGATGTAAGTGCGATTTACATTTGTTTTTTTTATTTCCGTCCAGAAAATTTTCGGAGTCATACATCAACATTAGCAGCAAAAAAGCAGTTGCTAAATCCTGAAGCATTTCCTTCAAATTGTTTTCAAAAAAAGCAAACTTTGATTGTAAAGAATGCAAAATTATTGTTGACAAAAGAAAGTTCAAAAGTAAACAAAGATGACACAGTACTAGAAAAACCACAATTGGAAGTGCTAAGGCACAATAAGGAATATATAGAACCAGAAATTAATGTGCCATTCTCATACTCGCGAGTGAAAGTCGAGTAAAAGATTATTTGTCATCAGTGAACATGCCTGCAAATGTATCACGTAAGTGTCATAGATTAATATATCCAATGTTGTTTTTATTGCATTAAAAGTAATAGAAAGTAAAAACTGCACTATCAACAATTTTTATAGATTTTTACTTTGTAAATATATATTATACACTATAAAAATAATGTTTACATTAAATCTTATGGATACCTTAAATTTTACAATTTAACAAATAAACATGTGTTCAATATTAGGTCCTGTACAAGAACTATTACATTTAACACCTATGAAAAGAGAACATGTAGAAACTTCAAACATTTCTGAATTGCAATCACAAATTCAAAACAATTATAGTGAAAATGTAGCACCAGAAATTAATGTGCCATTCTCATACTCAAGTGTCAAAAGTGAGACAACAGAAGTTGTCAGTCCGCTGCAAGATAATTAGTCTTTGCATAATGGTCTGGCAAACATATCAAAAAGTATAAATATTAATATATCTTATGTCATTTATATTGCAGTAACATACCTATATGTACAATTGTTACAATCTGTAATTGTAATGAATGAAAATGATTTGTCTTGTTTATAAATATATCTTACTGTCTCTGAAAATATACAATAATTTTGTTCGTCCAGAATCTGTTAACAATTTATGTTCGACGCCTAAAAGACGGAGATATGTAGAACCTTGCTACATTACTGAAATTACGACATCTGACGTACAAACTCCAAAAAAAGCTAGTCGAGTTATAAAATTTGTTAAAAACAATCATATGAAACAAAAAGAATATATAAAAAAGCTACAGAGGAAGAATAGAGACCTCATAAAGCGCATCAAGACTCTTGAAAATATGGTCTCTCACTTAAAAAAGATGAATTTAATCTCTGAAGATGCTGGAGATTCTTTGCTAGTACAGTATTCAGTTTAACTATCGAAGTAGTATAAAACATGCAATGTTCGTTATTGTCAATAATTTGAAAATGTTCGATAAACATATATGCAAAATCCAGATACACTCAACGTAGAGGTTTTCTGTCTTGAAAACTGCTACAATTATGGCGTACTCTTCAATATACAGAAAGGTTGACTCATGATTATTAAACTTCATACATGTACATTTATTTGCATAAAAGAACAAATTAAAAATTTTTTTTAT